TGTCTTGACAGTTAGCCACTGGCGAGACCCCGATGCACAAAAGTTTTCACTCTGTGTTAAGAATCCTACCGAGTAGGAGCTTGCGACAGGTAACGATTCTTACTTCGTACGAGGTAATAGTTCTTAGGCCTATACCTACACGATATTGATAGCTAAGTCCTCTGACTTCTATCTTATCGCGCCTATTCCTCTAGACTTCTTAAGCCCTCGCTTAGGACTTCTTTGCTTATAGTAGTATGAGGGATGTCCGCCCCTTATGGGAGGAAAGACATTTCTCGGGTTTCTTAAGATAAATCTTAAAGAGCGTAAAGGTAGGTTTTATAGTAATAACTTAAAGGTAGGAAATAAACAAGAAGAACATGTGAAGAGCTAATACTAGGGGTTCTAGTGACCCTTTATATAGTAGCTCTTCACCTTGCGTGACTCATACTTTTGCGTTACGTGAACCTTGTAACTCATAACTATGAGTTATGCGAAATCCCTCAGCTGACCCCTATGAGTCGCTGCGTAATATACCTAAAACTCATCAAAACATAACAACCCCGTCAGGTGCGCAACTTGCGTCACCTGAGTGAAACCCATGACTCCTAATTTGAGTCATGTGCGAAAATCATAATATCGTGTGACTCACAAGTGTGAGTCACGAACAAATAAACATAATAACCTATGGCGTACTAGTGTGCATCATGTGAAAATCCAACATACCTATAGCTTAGAATTCTAAGCTATGTAAAATCTGCCTTCAAGTTGCTTAGTCACAGTTTGTGACACTCTGGCAGGTGTATTGATAAACACCTTGTATGAACGGATGGGTATATAGGAGATTTCTGCTAGAGTGCACTGATACCTTAGCCCCTTTTAGGAATATGGTAATAGTGCCAGGGCAATCCTTATAGAGAAGGGCATACTCATGTTAGTCAGGGTAACCTGATGGGGGAGTTTTTGGTATAAGTCTCACTAATTAAAGATTATACGAGAACTCTCCTACCTCGACAAAATCAACATCCTCTCAAGAGACTTTAATTGAAATAAGCCAGAGCTTAACGATATTAAGTTTTACTGTTTACTTTTATTCTTTACACTTTGCAAGAGCTGTGTTTGTGAGATTCGAAGTTTGGTACGGTCACATCCTTAGGAACCATCTACCTGAGGAAGCCTCCGTTACACTATGTTTCTTACTCAGATTCTCAAGATAGTAACTGGGCAGCCTTGCTTATTTAGGATGCAATCTGGACCTGGCACTTCCTAGCATAAGTACTAGGATTCACAGGATGGAACTAGACTTCGTACCCAAGTACCAGATGCACTGGATACAACCAGACTTGACATCCAAGTACCAGACGCACAGGACGCACCAGATACAGAGTCCTCCCACCTTGTATCAGGACGCACTGCCCAGGCCTCTGACATAGAAATAATTTTTGCTAATGTAGCAGAAGCCTAACCCAGCTTGCTGGCATGTAATAAATGCTAACTGTTGTATACAGGTACTTCTTTCTTCACAACTTGACTTTCAAGCTCAAAAAGGTGGACTGCAAGAAACCTTGCAAGCAGCTGGTCATCTGATGATATTTTATTCTGTATTTCATAGTAAGTTGAACTTTATTAAGTACTTTTAAAGTTGTGTAAAACTTTACACTAGGGTAAACTATAAATACACTTTTCCTGCCTTAGTATATACAGTTTCCAATGCCTTAGCTGAAGTTCCAAATACTTTAATTTGGAAGTATTACCAGTGAACATTGCATATAATGGATGTATGTCAGAGTAATATAATCTATGGATCTGAAGATTTCAATAAGTATGTCCATACCAGATATTCTTCTAACCAAAGAATTGCAATGTCTGAACTTGATATATAGTAATTGAATTTGTATATAATTTAAATTACTTGTATTTCTTATCTCTTCTTTTTATTAATAAGTTATATAATATAACATCGGTAGGTAAAGTCAAATCTGGCATGAAATTATAATAATATAGTGTATTATGTTAGTTTATAATATTATAAAGGTTATACCCAAACCCTAAGGACTCCTGAAATCCCTTTAAGCGATGGTAATTTCCCTTTTTTTTAAGTTGTTACACCAAATATCACAGCCAAGACTATCACATTTTTTATATAAACACTAGTTTAAAGTTTAGTCTTCCAGAACTATACAAGGCTGCTAAAAAAATATTACATGACTGTGCAATTTTTTATGCCTTAACTGTCTCACTAAGCTTCAAAAATTAGAATTTTAGGATCAAAAAACAGGGTCTTCTAATATACCAGCTTAGATTAACTCAATATAATTTCTATTATATATTATTAGTTAATCAATTCAGAAAATATACCTCACTTGACTATAATTAAATTATCAATTATTTTATATATAGTATAGGGTAATTCATAATTGAAGGAAAAAATTCTAGTTAGTCATAACAAAACAATTATTTAAGTATTAACAACTGTGGCTGATATAATATTTTTCACTACTCTTACCAAAAATACATGATTTAAAAGCTAAATAGAGGTTTGTAAAAAAATCTACAAGCTTAATAAAAACTACTAGGCTTTTCACAATCATTTGCCCTTTAGTATAGTAGTTTTTTCAAATTTTTAAGTTGTTTTATAGAGGCTCCATTACCAGTTTTATAAGATGTAACAGTGTAGTTCACATTTTGAAGTACTTGAACCATATACTTAAGTTTTTAATTAATATAATTATTTCAGAAAAAGGTACTAGTAAAAAGACTATAAGGAATGTGAGAAGCCATCCTCCATCTCTGTTACCACTCCAGTTATTGAAAAATATTTCCTATTTAAGAACTACTTAATATTAGAAAACCATTACCACTTTTCAGGCCTCACATCCTCCTAGTAGAGGGGTATAAGCCATCCCTCTTTATTTTCCTTCCCTTTATTAAGCTTTGCTCTTGCTTTTGAAAACTTCTCCTTGAGGTTTATCCTCCTAAGATTTCTTTTCTCTGCTGGGAGCTATCTCACAATACTCCTTCCTCCTCCTGTTCTGCTTTTACTAGACTTGCTTAATATTTGCATAGTCATCTTTTTGGTTAGTTAGTCTGATAGTTCTCTAGACTATCAGAGATTTGCTTTAAACCTCATCATCTGAGTTGGTAGTAGTATTCTATCCAATAAGTAACACTTTTTCTCAGAGAACAAGGGACTATATGAAAGAAGTGGTCATTACCTGCTATGTCACTAGGCCTTGGCTTAGTTCCTATGATCCTGATTATAACCTGCTACTGTATTATTCAGTCCTTCCTCTTTTCTTTTCTCTGGAATCTGCTGGTACCATACTGTCTAAATACTTAATTACCCTCTCTCTACTACCTTGGAGCAACTCTTCTATATACTTCCTCCTAGTCAGCTTCAGTTCAAGTTAGTACCTTTTCACTACTAGCTCTAATGTTACTACAGGCATCATCTATTCCTCTTGAACTGGTCTCCCCTCTGCTACCAGTAAGTAGTAACCCTTCTACCTGGTAGCTTTAGTACTACCTCTACCTATTTCTTAGGAGGATTGGTATTTCTTGCCTGCCCCTTCCCTGACCTTTTTGCAACTTACCCCTTGGCCAAACTCCTGACCTACTTGCTCAGGTATTATACTCTAGATCAGCAGATCCAGGAAAAACCAGGGCACCCAGCTAAGAACCTCTCCATAAGTCTATTGGCTACTAACCTTTTGCAAATTCACCTACAAAGGCACTTTGGAGGGCTCTCTTCTATTCTTTCCTTTATTAGTAATAACTTTAAAGAGTTTTCTTCTCTCTTCTTTCTCTTCTGTCAAAGGCTAATTGTTTCCCCTATAAGCATAGATATATGATTAAACCCATACCAAAGGGTCTTAGGAGAGTTGTTTTAGTTCTAGGAGCATGGAGAATGTTTGACGGAATTAAGGCCTTTTCTATTACTATACTACAAGATGCATATATATTTTTAAGCTATAATCAATAAATACATGAATTAAGAAAAAAAAAACATAAGAAGCTGGTAGGAAGAACATTAGACTAGCAGTAGCATAATGGATATATGCCTGAGAGATGTCACTAGGGGGAGTTTATTTTTTTTCTTTTATTAGTATAGTTTCAGAAAACTAAAAAGTAGAATCAGTTTTCCTATACAATATCTAATAATTTTAGAGGTAACAGTAACTATAATACTTTTATTGATATCTGATTGCATAATATTATATTGTTTGTTGCCAAGAAAAAATATTAAAAATAAATTAAGATTATAATTATTATATTATATTCAAGTCCCTTATACTAGTAGTTTCTTAGATCAGAATATAATATTTAATAATTTCTATCTTGTATAATAAGACAATAAATTAGCTTCTTACTAACTGAATTTTATTTGCTTTATTTTACATAATTTTTTTTTCTAAATTATATTATTAATATATTAATAAACTGTGTTGTTGCATATAAGACATCAAGCAAAGTACAAACACAACCATTACAGTTGCTATTACCTCTAGAATTGTCATATATATTATATGAAAACTGGTCCTACCTCTAGTCTTCTAGGACAATACTTCTAGAGAATGGCCAAGCTACTGATTTGTATATAGTCTAGTCAGAGCATATTGTAAAAGAAGTTATAATAACAAAAAAGAGTACCAGGCTCCAGGTTTACATAATTTAAACCTATTACTGTCTGTATTGTTTTATTACATCTCTAAACCCTAAAAAATTGAGAGTATTGCCAGACACAATTATTTCTAAAAAATGACACTTTTTAAAAACAGCCATTAAAGCCATTTTCAGGAAATATCGCCTTCTTTTTTTATTGTTGCGTGCCAAAAAGAGCCTTAACTTATTTTTTCTTTGATGAGAGTGAGCCCGGTTCGGTACCGTAATCACATGGATTACCATTACCGGTATCATGTGGAACCCTCCGCATTTTTTTACTTTTCCCTCGTTACCCCGTCGTGGCAATTGGACATTCCAGATGCCATCAGACCGGTACGGCCCCGGCACCGTGCTGCACTGAACCCCCTGTGCATGCTGTATCATACGCGGGTGCTCGTGTGCTTGCCCAGGTTCACGCCGTCATGGTCCTAATCGGGGATTACATGATTGGTTGGCCCCACCCCTGCCTCTCTTCTTCACTCCCAGAGTGCCTCGGCTATGCGTGATACACTGAAACCACAATCAGCTGGCTTGCCGCTAGCCACCCGGGCTTGCTACAAAGTCTCATCTTGACGACTCCCGGTCCTCGCTCTTCCCCTCTTCCTCCTCCTCCTTCTCCTCCCTCTCCTCCTTCTCCTCCACACTTTTTCCCTAGACCATCCCACCATTCATCCTCGCTTTTTCTCGATTCCCCACACGAGTTCGCTTGCTGGGCATTCACACACCCTTTGCCTACCATCGACCTCTCGAAAACCATCTTGCCAACTCTAGTCCACCCAAGTTCCCTATTCTAACCTCACCTCGTTAAAATGGCTCCCCGAGTGATTGTTGTTGGTGGCGGTTGTAAGTATCCCCGACCCAAACCCACCGGTCGCGGCATTAACCGCGGGGCAAGTGATTTAGCTAATCCGCTACTTGGCAGTATCCGGTCTCAGCGCCGCCCACACTCTGTATTTGGCTGGTGCCAATGTTCTTGTTCTGGACAAGCAAGGTTTGTAAACTTAAGACCTCCCTCTGCTCATGGCGGAATAGAGCTTAATGGTTGCCTCAGGTTTCTTTGGAGGAAACTCCACCAAAGCGACCTCGGGTATCAACGGCGCCCTCACCCGGACCCAGGTAGACTCGAACATTCAGGACAGTGTCCAGCAGTTTTACAATGACACCCTGAAGTCGGCACGCGATAAGGCAAGGCCAGACCTCATCAAGGTCCTCACGTACAAGTCTGCTGCGGCAGTCGAATGGTTGCAAGATGTATTCGGCCTTGACCTTACACTCGTTTCTCGTCTCGGGTGCGTCTGTTTCTGCGGAGCTGTCATGCGTTTGCTCTCGGAGGTCTAATTTCTGCATAGTGGTCACTCCCAGCCCCGTACCCATCGTGGCCATGATGCCAAGTTCCCCGGCATGGCCATTACTTACGCGCTGATGCAGCGCCTTGAGGAGCTTGCGGAGAAGGAGCCGGCGCGAGTCAAAATCATCAAGAAGGCTCGCGTTACAAAGCTCAACAAGGAGAGTAACAAGGTGACCGGTCTCGACTTTGAGTATGAGGGAAAGACTTATACCGAGAGTGGACCTGTCGTTCTCGCCACCGGCGGTTACGCTGCGGATTTCACAGATTCTTCCTTGCTGAAGAAGTACCGCTCTGATGTCTACGGACTCGCTACCACCAATGGCACCCACGCCACTGGCGATGGACAGAAGATGATTATGGAAATTGGTGGTAACGGCATCGACCTTGACAAGGTGCAGGTGCACCCAACCGGCTTGGTGGATCCCAAGGATCCTGGATCCAAGTGGAAGTTCTTGGCTGCTGAGGGTATGATAAGCTCTCAATTTTTTGCCTGCCCCGGATAATAGTTGCTAATATTCTCCGCAGCTCTTCGTGGTGAGGGCGGTCTTCTCCTTAATGCCGAGGGTAACCGATTCTGTGATGAGCTCGGCCATAGAGATTACGTCTCTGGTGAGATGTTCAAGAACAAATTCCCCATCAGACTTATCCTCAACAGCAAGTCCTCCAATGTTCTTGACTTCCACACAAGACATTATTCGGGTCGCGGTCTCATGAGGAAGATCACCGGTCAGGAACTAGCCAAGGAGATTGGTTGCGGCCCCCAACACCTCCAGAAGGTATTCAAAGAATACAATGACATTTCCGATGGCAAGAAGAAGGACCCATATGGAAAGAAATTTGTGAGTTCGCCGCCTTACGTCCAAACGGGACACCAATCTAACAACCTATAGTTCCATAACGGCCCCTTCGACATCAACGACGACTTCCACGTCGCCCTCATGGAGCCCGTCCTTCACTTTACCATGGGCGGTGTTGAGATTGACGACAAAGCTCGCGTCTTGAACAGTGAGAAGAAGCCCTTCGATGGTCTCTTTGCCTGTGGTGAATTGGCGGGAGGTGTCCACGGAGCCAACCGTCTCGGTGGCTCCTCCCTCCTCGGATGTGTTGTCTACGGCCGTGTAGCCGGTGACTCTGCCTCAGAGTACCTCTTCCAGCAGGTCCTCACCGGTGCCTCTTCCTCCGCCGTAGCCCGTCTGAACCAGATCTCCCTTCACATCGACCCTAACAACCCTGGAAGACTCACCATCGAGTGGGCTGGCCAGCGTCTATCAAACGAGGGCTCAAGCGCTAACATCCCCGGGCAGGCGCCAACACACTCGGTACTCAAGGATGGCTCTGAGGGATCCGATCCCGGAACCGCAGGGAAGCCCACTGCCAAGGAGTTCTCCATTCCTGAGAAGGAGTATACGATGGAGGAGGTTGCAGAGCACAACAAGAAAGAGGACGTATGGGTTGTTGTTAAGGGTCTTGTCATGGACCTCAGCGGCTTCCTGGAGGACCACCCCGGCGGTGTTCAGGCCATTGTGAATTTTGCCGGTAGGGACGCTACAGAGGAGTTTGCAATGCTGCACGATGATGAGGTCATCCCGAAGTATGCTCCTGGGACGGTGATTGGAAGGGTGAAGGGTGTAACTCCTAAGTTGGACCTTTGAGTTTGTCAATCTTTTCTCCTTGTTCGGGGTGGGCAGTATGGTAGAACTGTATGTACGGTGCAGTAATTACCCATTTTCGCGTTTCCTTTCTTTTATTCTGAGCCAACCTGTAACGAAGCGGGATTGTTTATAGGTTCTTTTTCTTTTTTTCTTACTTTTTTTCTTTCCCTTTTTCTTTTTTTTTTTTTTTAAGTAAATCAGAACTAAACCGGAGTAAACTTTCATCACTCGATCCTATGCCCTGGGAGGGGGCCTTGATACGGTGTGTAAAGTACGGTACATTTAAGCTCTCATCTAAGCTGGCTAGCCCTCCACAGTGCTGTATCAACACTCACCTCAAATCTTTACATGGATGAATGGGCCACACTGTACGATAAAAGAAATAAAGCCCGTCATATAAATAAATCACTCGTTCCCCTTCCCCCCGGTATCACAGTAATAATTAGATATGTAATTGCTCGCCGTGCTCCGACGCTAGTCTTCACTGTTGATAGATGGATAAGGGATAGATACGAACAATATGGCGCAGTATTGTAGTGTATATATTGGTAGTGTCATCTGCAGTAAGAGATGATAGTGTAGGGTAAGGTGAAGTGAAGGGGGGAGAGGTGGATTATGATGTGGTTGTGTCGGTGCAGCTGTATGATACTAGTAGCCATTTTTTCTCTTTCGATTTTGTAACAGGGCAATTTACTCCGTTCCTGTAGTACCATTGCGATCATTTCACTTTCACCATACCCGCAAAATGCAGGAATCCAGTCTTTAGACTGTTCGAGCACCCGCGGCCCGCGGGGTGGAAAGCTCCGACATAACTTGCCGGGCGGAATACGCATGAGTGGGTGCCAATTCAAGCACGAACGCATTCGCGCCCACACAGATGACTGGCTGTAGAGTAAGTTAGGTTTGGCCATCTGGGATCTCCCCCTCTCCTCCTCATGCCCTACCTACCCTTTGTTATTACTATTGCTAAGTAGAGCAAGGGTAGATATCATCAAGGGTTCAAGTCTCAGAGGTACTTGGTTGCTTCTGAGGATGCTACTGTGATGCCGGAGGTGTTGTAGGGAAGCGTGACATAAGTGATAAATAAATAAATAAATAAATGGAGTTCAGAAGTCGCCCCGGACTTCCGTAAAAGGGGGGGGGTTAAATGAGGGGTAGAGTCACGAAATGCAGGTCATAGCGCGTCGCGAGTACAGGAAGGAAAATCTAAGCAGAACGCGGAATAGTTCTCACTTCCAGTGAGCCAAGAAGACTCCAGTCTTAGCCGAGTGTATCGTACTAGTGAATGCCCCCATCCCGGCACCCACCCAATGTGTGCTAAGTTGTCGACTACTCTAGTACGATGAAAATGAGGAAGGACCCTGAGAAGCAACGGCTCCCGACTTGGAGTTGTATCTGCTGGTCGAGTGATTGGTCATGTCTAGGGAGGTGGGATATGGGAGGATGGGAAACGAAGGGCCCGCAAAGATCAAAGGTGGGATATTATCATTAGGTGGTTAGAACTCTTTGGGATAGTCAGCGGGTATTAGTGGATCCAGGAGACTTATCGTACCGGAGCTCCTAAGAACATTGTATGATTTTCAGTGTGGTGCATGGAACCCTGAGGGAGGCAATAGCGCAAGAGGGAGCTCGGGAAGGTAATTGTACAGTACCTCGTAGGAAATTGGAGAGGGGATTGGTTGGCATACCTGTGATGTGTGCTTAATCGCTATTTCCAATGAAAAAAAAACACTTCAAACCCTCTAGCGAACCCTATCCCATTGTCCTTGCTTCAATTCTCTTCGACACGGGCAGTCTTTGGCTACGGTAGTAGTGATTGAGTTAGTTCCGGAGGCCTACCGCAAGTGGCTGAGAGCGTGAAGTTGATTCCAGAAACATGGGGGGATTACAGGCAATATGCAGTGATCATACGTAGTTCCAATGTCAAGAAATATCATTCCCAACCTTTGGAGGGCAACAAGGTAGTCAATAACTTTGCTATCGTCGTCCCATTGGAGGATTTCCTCACCTCCGCCACTACCTTTAATTCAACCAAGCAGGAGGAGGAAAAGCACGTGCCTGGGGATGGACAGAAACAGAAAGGATTTTGGATCAGAAGGGTTACTCCTCCGATGGTTAAGTATGATGTATTACTTAAAACAAGAACATTGACAGCACCCAGAATTACTATACTGCATGAGCCAGAGTGACACGGGAAGTTTCTGCCTTTTTTTTCGATGATGCGGTGGTAAAAGTTCACCTCTCAGTAACAAACCTTAATTCGTGGCCAATTAACTCTCCCGCCAACTCACTTTACTTGAAGTAATGTTTAGATTATTCCTCAGGCTTCTGTTGCAGGCAAGGAGCGGCGACCGGACATACTCGAGTACCCAGTGCCAACGTAAAGGGATGTCTGTTGGAAATATCTGAGTCTAATGCTGCGCGGAATGCTCCAGTCCGAAACATTGGTGCAGGCGCTAAGGTTATAATTCTGTTTCATGGCGGTGAACTCTAAAACTGAGGAAGAAAAAACATTTCGACGCTACTGACAAGGTGAAGAGTCTTCCTTGCTAGTCTAGTTGGAAGGGCAAATGACTATCGAACTCGAAGAATCCAAATCTCATGGTATTGGCTTTATAATTTCTATGTCTAGCTCATTGTTATTTTCCTTGATCATCACAATTGTTCATCGTCATTATCATTCATCCTTTTCTTCCTCTATCATTTGCGATATCATTCGATACAATGAACTCACACTCTTTAAATCACATACTGTATACCTCGAAACAAAGTTGTTGCCCAGTACCGTATCGCTTTTGTGTAAAAATGACCAAGTTCTAATATGAATCCCGTGAGTGTTTCCCTCTTATTCGAGATAATATAGCACGGTGTACAGTGCCACGCCAGATATTCTTTCACAAGAGCGCCAGGGCATAATACTGTATTTGATAAAATATACCCCTTCTCCATCATTCACTAATGCAGGTAGCATAATTTACTTGTGCAGACGATTACTCCGGAATTATTATCCCGAGTGCTCCTTAGTACCAAGGGGGCTCCGCCCGAGGACAAGCGAACCATCCAAAGTTCTATTAACGCTCCCTCCCGAGTTGCAGCCTGCCATCCCTAATATCATACAGGGAATTAGTCTCTCCAGCGGAGCTTCTAAGGCAGCACTCAGACGCCATTTCTCCGGCTATCCAAACTGACCTGCCCCTTCTTATAGTCCCGATATTACCGAGCCGGAGGAGGATGGCGGATTGCGCGATATGCTCTTGAGACTCTACAATAAGGATCACTTAATCATTAAACGCTTCTGCTAGGCCCGGTCCCGATCATTAGTAGCTCAAGAGACTCCCGCCGTAATAATCCTCCATACAAAATTCAGCAACGAACTACTTGCAGCGACCATTCACTCCCCGTGGCTGCAGGTGCGGCTTTGAGTCCTATCAATCAGTTATGATACTCTATGGCATTCTGTAGATAACGGCACTCTGAAAAGACACCCACCCGACACAAAGCACTCCGAGAGTAAATTTTAGCAATGCTAACCCCTTCTCCTTTTGTGCTGGGAAGTGTGAGGGGCGGCACGGGCACGATACCACCAACTCCATGTCCCACCGCTGTTCCGCTAAGGTAATGATTACCTCCCCGCTTCCAATCGCAGGACTATTCCACAACCCGTTTCCGCTTCCTACGCCGCCGCCCCCACTCCACTCTATTACTTCCCGCAAGGCAATTCACCAGGCCCCCTCCCGCCACCAGTCGCCCTCCAGCACTCCGGTATCAATCCCTAATCTCTATGGTATAAGACAAGTTGATAACATGGCAGCCAGATGTGACCCTAATCGGTAAGCGGCGAGCGAATACCCAGATACACCGCCGCACAGAGCGTGGGGACCCCCGGAGAAGGTTAATGCCCTTGCTGCTGCCCACTCCGTGATACAAAAACTCCCAGCGCAGCAGGTACAGTACCATACCCCTGGCCCTGGATCTCCGCCCACCGGGCATGCGGCCTGGGGGCCTGGAGATACGTAGTCACAGGGCCCGCGGTCCTGAGGTGCGCGGTAGTTAGGCCCATAATATCATGTCATAGTATGATAGTCTATTGCTCTCGCATCAGCATGGGATATGGGCTTTTAGTTCCGATGATACCCGCTATCATAGGGTATCAAGTATTGGGTACCCTACCCTGTTCGCCCACATCCCATGCGGGCCAGCATTGGGTATTTAGTTTTGTGTAGCTCACCTTTCAGGCCTATCGGTATTAGGAATAGGGCTCCCGTTTCACCGTTGTGGATACGTCTGGATAGTTGATGGCCAGGGAGGATCATGGCGTTTCCCCGGAGAGAGTGTTCTTTTAGGGTTCGTCTGGTTGCCGTCAGTTTTTCAAACCTTGATAATGGCAAAATGCGAGTTGTAACAAGAAAGTGCAATAATGACAAGTTGACAACCTGAACCATGTAACGTTACTGTGGCGTGTCTGACCACCCACATGAAAATACCGAGCCATACCAAGGAATGTAGTTCCAACACCATAGTATATAATATAACTATATGGTTCAAGGATATCGTATTCTATATTAATACCTAAAACTCATCTTTTTCATTTTTATTTTTATTTAAATCAATGCAATCAAGCCAACCGGTGATGGGAAAGTTGAAGTGGTCAGAATCAACAACAGAGACACTGTGTAACTGGAACTGGAGTTCAGTTCGTTCGGTTTAAGGAGTTGTTTTATGTTTTGTTTTACTTGTGGTTTCGAGTATCCTTTGATACTCAGTTTGTTTTACTTGTGGTTTCGAGTATCCTTTGATACTCAGTTTGTTTTATGGTTTGTTTAAGGATGATTTGGAAATCCGTCCATGCAGGACATGGACAAAGGTTGTATTTAAAGACCGCTGATTCCCTCAGAGGAACGGCAGACTTCGGCAGACAGAGTATTTCTAATATACTTGATTGAACGGTTACCTCTTCGAGTCCCTATTCTTTATATCTTTCTCTCGGAGCCTCCCTTAGCGCAGTACGCCCATAGGTTGTAGACCAACTTGTGCGCTACTCCTATTGTACCTGGAAGCGTGATTAGCACCCCGGTGCGAACACGTTACACACTGCTTAAAACCCTTCACGAGCAAGCACTACAAGGCGAAAACGCAGAGAACGGATTCAAGAAAAAGGCATGGATTATAGCAAGGACGGCATTGAGGGACTTGTACAGGATTGAGTTGGAAGTATCACAGCTTAAGTCAAAATGAGCAAATGTAAGTAAATAATAATAGTTTTATATCATATATAATGAAACTTCTACATAGACAGCAATAAGCTAATTATATTTAATATATACAGTTGAAGAAGGATTACAAGATCCTTACAACAATCAAAAACAACTCGGGATTTGGATGGGATAAAGAAATGGAAATACCAACCGCACCTGACAGTGTATGGGACGCATATTTGAAGGCGCATCCAGAGGCAGAAAAGTTTCACTATCGTGGCCTACTCCACTTTACGGTTTTAGATGAGCTTTGTACCAATATGTCAGCAACCGGAGAGTATGCGCTTACCTCGAACCTCGCATTTCTAAGTACAACAAGTACTCAAAGTTCGTTTT